TTCTCTTTCTGCTGCAGGCGGGACGTGTGAGCTGAGGTCGGTGGAATGGTAAGATTCCTAAAGGCAGAGATGAGGAGGTGGCGTGGCTGCAGCCCCCACTGCACCGATGCAGGCAGGAAGCCATGAAAGGGCAGGATGTGTTGGGAGAAGAGTGAGAATCACTGTGGCCATGCGGAGGCCTTAGATGGTGAGGGACAGGAAGGAGGTACAAAGTGGTAATGCCAGAAAAGCCCCTCTCAGAGAGCACCCCAGAATTCATAGGCAGTGTTTGGGCTTCATCCCGTAGGCAACAGGAGACGGATCACGTGATCAGGTGGTCATTTGAGAAATTTCATCTGGAGGACCTGGAGCAGTTCTAGCTGGGGGCAGAGGTCACTGTTGCAATGGACAGTGGGAAAGCCACACCCTCTGCCGTAACCACAAACCCAGCTGTAGCCGCATGAGGTTTACAGTCCCCACTCACATTCAGCCTGCCCTGGGCTCAGCACCCTCTACACTGTTTCTGAGCCAGTCCTCACATCGCCTGCGAAATGGGGACAGTCAGCTCCTGCTAACAGCACAAGGTCACACAGCTAGGAGATGGGAGACGTAGGCTTTGACCACAGGTCTGGGGGGCTCCTGAGCCCACCTGCGTAGCCACTTCTCATACTGAAAGGTGCTGCCCCTCCACCTGCTTTGGTTTTTGCAGGAGAGCATTCCACAACTTCAACTACTTTCTGTTCTTCTGCAACGTGCTGCTGGGCCTGGGCGCCTGCCTCTCCAGGCTTCTCATCAGCTGCATCCTGGGCACGTGGCTGGTCGCCCGCATCGACAGGACCATTCTGCAGAGTGGCTGTGAGAGAGCAGACATGGGTACGTGGCCATGCCTCTGGGGAGCGCTGGTCTTGTACTTTTGCAGAAGCTGCCTGGAAGTCGGGTACCAGAGGCCTGAGTTCATACTCTTCGCTTATGCTTAGAGTTTATCTTCCCATGGAGGCTATAAGGCTGAATAGAAAAACAAAACAAAACAAAACAAAACTATTCAGCCCAATGGTCAGAAGGGAATTCAGGCTATTAAATACTTGCATGTTTGACAGACCTTTGAGGTAGAATGAAGGGCAGTAAGAGGTAGCAAATTCTATCTGAACAGTTAGAAGGTAATTTGTGAATGCATGGCTCTGAAAATTTTGAGAAAACACATCTCAGAATTACTGGTGTTGTTAGTTGCAAGCTTAGTTAAGAAAATGGTTTGTTCAGTTTCAATGAGCCAAAATCAAAGCTTTTTCTGTGGAGAAAAAACAGTTTTTGTCCTATTTCTGGCCCATGTCTGTTCATTCACTCATTCATTCATTTAATGGCTGCTGCCTTCTTCATATAAGGCACAGAGGCTCCTAGCTGCTATGAGCTTCAAATTCCCATAAAATGAACAGATTAGGGTGTGATCTTTCCAGCTCTTTATACCTCATTTTCTAGATTCTCAGCAAAGACACAGGCACCATTTGGGAACAAAGTGACGCTGCAGTTACGTCATAAAAAGCACAAGCTGGGCCATCCTGGGACGTACTGCATGGCCTGACTTGCCGTCTGGATTTCAGGGTTCAGTGCGTGGATTGGCATGCTCTATGTGGATCATTATCACACCAACCCGGTGCTTGTCAGCTTTTGTCACATCCTGATCACAGGCCACAGAGAGAGGAGGCTGCAGCAGGCCATCAAATACTGGTACCTAAATCGGTCAGCAGGTAAGTCTCCTGTTTGAACCTACACTGGGGTCGGACACCAGGAAACATGTACCCTCAGGCTTCCCTGGGATCCCTGAGATGTCCCAGGTTCCTCCTTCCCTGCCCCTCTTCCTCCACACTCCCTGCCCTGGGATCCCTTCTACCCAGGGGATCAGGAGGCTTTGCCCGCAGTCAGCCTGGCCTCAGGACCCCTGAGGCCTTGTCCTGCCAACTGGGCTCCTCCCTTGTTTCCAGAAACGAGCTCTAGTTCTGCTAGCTGAGTCCTTCATTGAACCATTTGTTTGAGATGCTACCCATAGCCCAGGCTGCAAGCCAGATGCCCTCCAAGATGGTGTGCAGTTTTGCTTAATTTGCCCCATTCCTTACCACAAGCTCTCCCAGCCACCGACTCTTAACCCCTGAAGGTTCTACACTGTCTACTCCCACCCCTGCCACCCCTATTATTCTGCTCTGCCTTCCGCTGGGAAGCCCTCCAGTTAGCCATGTTCTGTCGTGGACACTCAACACTGACCTGGACCGTTTTCATTGCTATTCCCAATGCTGCAGATACCCAGATCTGGGGGACAAACTCACATCCCTTCAGCCGCCCTCATGTCCCCAGGAGTCCTGGTCCAGCTCCTTCTTCCATACCTCACACCTTCTGGGCAGCTTTCGCTACAGCCTCTGAGAAGGACAGAGACAAGCTGCCCCCTCCTCCCAGTCTACTGGTTCTGGTTCTGTCCTAGGTCCCCGCACCTCAGTGAGGTCCAGGACAAGGTGGCTCCTGCTGCAGACCCTGATCAACAACCCCAGACTGGTCACACTCAGAAAATCAAGGCCAGGTCATGGCTCCCGGGACTTACCCAGATTCTGTTGATGTGCTCGGAGAGCTGACGTTGACCTCCCACATTGCGACAAGGCTGTTCTAGGACATCTGCCCCTGAGAAGGCCCAGGCTACCCAACAGCTGTCCCCTGCATTGTGATGGGATGCACAGGCGCTGTCCACACAGATGGCATACAGGCCAGCAATTCATGGGATGGCACTTGGGCTGAACAGTGAAGTCTCAGGTCTAATTCATTCCCTTGGTAAAAAGATCAAGAACTAAAGAGAATTTCTGTTGAACAAACTTTGCCCAATAATGATTTCCACTATCCATGGTTAGGAGGCAGCCTTGGGGAGATCCATGTTGAGACACACTTAATTTAGCCACAGGGCAGAACTTTGTGTCACTGAAAAAGGTGGTAAAAATTTTTATATCAGGAGAGTTTAACCGTTTGACACAGTTTTCCTCTGGGAGAAAGTATGGCCTTAATCCAACAGGGTCCTCGTTGTTTCCTCCTTTCTAGGTCTTATGGTGGTGGGAGAGAAGGAATCCACGATCCCAGCCTCCAGTCTGGTGGGTGAGCAGGCACACACTGAGCTCTCTCTCCCACAGCCACTGGGATGGGGAACGGATCAGAACTGACCTGGGCCTTGGTCACAAATCAGATGTACAGATTCTCTCTGACAAAGAGGGCATTCCCTGAGAAAGCCACTTGTCTGAGGAGGCAGAGATGGGATGGGCAGGCATTTAAGGTGGGGGACAACAGGAGCAAAAGTGTGGGAGCAGGTTTGAGGAGGGTGAGCCCTCTAGTGTATGCAGGGCATGGTGCTGGGGGCTGGTTAGACCATCCAAGGGGGTCCAGATGCCCGGCTGAGAAGCCTGGACCTTTCTCTTTGTGCAGGGGGCCCAGTACTTACCCAGATTCTTCATTCCCCAGCATAAGGTCTCTGATAAACGGGGACCTGTCACTCACAAAACCTGTGCAAGTACCAGGAGGACTCACCCATAGGGTGAGGGAAGTCCCCATCCACCTCACAAATCCCAGAGCCATTGAAATCCAGTAATCATTATTGAGTACCTACTGTAAGCCCAGTCCTTTGCTAGATGTGTCTGCCAGACGTATCTCTTTTAACTTTATCTCTGCAACCAAGCTTTGTCATTCTGCTTTTTGAAACTAAGAAAACTGGGACTCAGAGTATTGGGATCCCCACACCACTACTTTCTAGTTGTGTGACATTGGCTAAATTACCTCACCTTTCTGTGCTTTCTTTCTCCTACGTACTAATATAAAAAGGGAATGATACCCGCAACGCCAAAAATTATTTTGAGGATAAAATGAGTTAATATACACAAACACTCCTAAGCTAGTGCCTGACATATCCTAAACTCTCAATAAATATCAGTCGTTGTTTGTAATGTTACACTTTGTGGTGATCTGATTAATGTCTGCCTACCTCTCATTATGCTCTCGGCTCCACCAAGAAAGAGGTCTTCTCAGATTTTACTCACCATTACCAAGTATCTGCTGTAACATAGTAGGATCTTGGAATGAATAAAATAATAAGGCCATGATGACTGAATATCTCAGCCATGAGTTCAATACTGAAATCAACCCTGGCATCATGGTTGAGTGGCCACTAAACAGAGGTCAGGAGCACTGGGTTTTGGTCCCAGCTCTGCCACTAGAATGAGTCTCAGTTTCTCTAGATGAAAGCTAGTGTGGACCTCACAGCCAGTGCCCCTCACTTGCACCCATACTTGCTATGTGCAGTCACCACTCCAGGGACACAGGACACCTGAAGAGATGAGCTTCTGCCTGCAGCACGTGGCAAGGCCTCTCTTTGCAGCTCTTGCTACAGTTGTCTCCCAGCCTCTTCCCTGGACTGGTTTGTGAGCTCCTCAAGGGCAGGGATCAGGTATCTCTCATCCTTGAGGACATTATGTATTGATAAAAGGTATAATCCATCAAGAAGGCATAATAATTATAAACATATATATATCTAACAGCTGAGGCCCCAAAACATATGAAGCAAAAACTGACAGAATTGAAGGGAGAAATGGACAGTTCCACATTAATAGTGGAGATATTAGTACTCCCCTTTCAATAATGGATATTACAACCAGACGGAAATCAGTAAGGAAATAAAGAATTTGAACAACACCATAAACCAATTAGACCTAACCCTCCACCCAACAACGGCAGAATACGTATTCTTCTCAAGTGCATAAAGAACATTCTCCAGGATAGACCATATGTTAGGCCACCAAACAGGTCTTAGTAAACTTTTAAAAATTGAAATCATGAAAAGTGTCGTTTCTGACCACAGTGGAATCAAGCTAGATATCAATAACAGGAGGAAAACTGGGGGAAAATCACAAATATGTGAAAATTAAGAAATACAACATTAAACACCCAATGGGTGAAAGTTGAAAATGAGGGATACTAGAAAATATCTTTCATCAAATGAAAATGAATATACAACGTACCAAAACTTATGACATGCAGAAAGAGCAGTGCTCACAGGAGAATTTATAGTTGTAAATGTCTACATTAAAAAGAAGCAAGATCCCAGAACAATAACCTAACTTGACACCTTGAGGACTAGAAAAGGAAGCGTAAACAACCTGAAGCTAGCAAAAAGAGGGTAATAATAGATATGAGAGCATAGATGAAATAGAGAACAGGAAAGCGGTACTGATGCACCTATTTGCAGGGCGGGAAAAGAGATGCAGATGTAGAGAATGGACCTGTGGACACAGGGCGGGAATGGGAGGGTGGGACAAATTGAGAGAGTGGCCTTGACATATATACACTACCATGTGTAAAATAGATAGCTAGTGGGAAGCTACTGTATAGCACAGGGAGCTTAGCTTGGTGCTCTGTGATGACCTAGATGGGTGGGATGGGGGGGAGGGGTGAGAGGGAGGCTCAAGAGGGAAGGGATATATGTATACATACAGCTGATTCACTTTGTTCTACAACAGAAACTAACACAACATTGTAAAGCCATTATATTCCAAATAAATAAATAAATAAAATAATAAAGGAAAACAACAGAGACAGTGAATCAAACCAAAAGTGGATTCTGTGAGAAGATCAACAAAACATGAAATTTTAAGCTAGAATCACTAAGAAAAAGAGAATAGACAAAGTTATTAAAAACAGAAATGAAAGCTGGATAATACTGCTGACTCTACAGGAATAAAAATGATTATGAAAGTATATTGTGAATATTTGTACTCCTACAAATTGGATAACCCAGATGAAATGGACAGATTCCTATAAGGACACAAACTAACAAAGTTGACTCAAGAAGAAATAGAACAAGTAAAGAGATTGAATTCTTTTTTTTAAAATTAATTAATTAATTAATTTGGCTGACTTGGGTCTTTGTTACAGTGCACTGGCTTTCTCATTGCGGTGGCTTCTCTTGTTGCGGAGCACAGGCTCTAGGTGTGCTGGCCTCAGTAGTTGAGGCTCACGGACTCTAGGGCACAGGCTCAGTAGTTGTGGCGCACGGGCTTAGTTGCTCTGCGGCATGTGGGATCTTCCCGGACCAGGGCTCGAACCTGTGTCCGCTGCATTGGCAGGTGGATTCTTAACCACTGTGCCACCAGGGAAGCCCGAGATTGAATATTTAAAAAACAAAAACAAACAAAACTGCAACAAAGACAAGCCCAAGACTGGATGGCTTCACGAGTGAATTCTACAAAACATTTTAAAAGATTAAAATACATTCTTCTCAAACTCCTCCTAAAAAATGGAAGGAGAGGAAACATTTCCTATCGCATTCTATGAGGCCAGCATAATGCTGATAAGAGAGCAGACTAAAACTTCCCAAGCAAAGAGAACTACAGACAAATATCCCTCCTGAAAATAGATGCAAGAACTTCAAGATTATAGTAACCAAAGTAAAAATATTTCTACTTGCTGATATCATGATTTTATAAATTCTTAAGGAACAAAAATAGAAGCAAAAAGAAACTGTTAGAGCTAATAAATGAGTTCAACAATGTTGTAGGATACAGATTAACATTCATCTATCAATTGCCATTCAATACAACTGTAGAAATGAAAATTTATTATAATTCTATAGAAATGAGCAACCTGAGGAAAATTATTTGCAAGAGCATTAAAAGTAATAAAGTACTGAAAAAATATTTACAGGAGGTACTAGACTTGTACTCTGAAAACCACTAAACATTTCTGAAAAAAAAAAAGCTAAAGAAGGCATAAATAAATGAAAATCTACGCCATGTTAATGGATTGGAAAATTTATGATAAGATGGCAGTACTCTCTAAAGTAATCTGTACGTCCAATGCAATCCCTATAAAATTGCAACAAATCTTTCTTGCAGAAATGGAAAAGCTGACCCTAAAATTCATATGGAATTGCAAGGAATAGCCAAAACAACGTTGGAAAAGGTGAACAAAGTTAGAAAACACACTGCCTGATTTTTAGTCTTACTATAAAGCAGTAGTAATCCAGCAGTGCATCATCGGCATAAAGATAGACATAGACCAGTGGAATAGACTGAGAGTCCAGAAATAAACTATATCTATGGTCATATGATTTTCAACAAATGGTTGAAATTCAGCAAATGGTAAAGACCATGGAATGTGGAAAACAGTGTTTTCAACAAATGGTGCTAGGAAAACTGAATATCCACATGCAGAAGAATGAATTTGGATCCTTACCTTACACCATATGCAAAACTCAAAATGGAGCAAACCTAAATTTAAGAGCTAGAACTATAAAGTTCTTAAAGGGGTAAATATCATGATATTGGATTTGGTAAAGGATTCTTAGATATAACATCCAAAGCACAAGCAGTAAAAGAAATCATAGATAAGTTCATAAGACAATCTATTAAGACTTCATAAATATGATAAACTTTTTGCATCAAAGGACACTATCAGGAGAGTGAGAAACAACCCATGGAACAGAAGAAAATATTAGACCTGATAAGCAGCTAATATTCAGTATACATAAAGGATTATTAGAACTGTGATGGTCCTCCATGTCAATTTGGCAAGGTTATAGTTCCCGGTTACTTAATCAAACACATCTACAATCAGTTGACTATAGAGGATATTACCTTTGAAAATGTGAGTGGGTCTCAGTCATTCAGTTGAAACCTTTGAGAGGCACCCACAGGAACCCTCCGTTCCCTCCAGTTCCATCCAGGTCCTACCTGTTTTCAGAGATGGGTGTAAATAGCCCTTCCTCTGGGAAGTTGTCCTTGACGCCAGCCCCCTTCCCCCATCTACCAATTCAATGGGTCTCCCACTTCTGTATTATCAATTCTCCCAGTAAATGTAAGACTTCGGACGGAGCAGGGAGTGTCCTGCACAGAGGGTCTCTGATTTCCACTCCTCTACCAGTCTCCCACAGTGAGTACCACAGCTGTTCACCTTATTCCTTTTCTAGAGGAATATTCCTTTTCTGGAGGTTGATCTGATTCCCCTAGGAGGCAGACGGCTAAAGTCCATCAGAAAGAGCCCCCTAGCCCGTCACTAGTACCCCATCCCTGCCCCTTTCATGTTGCACTACCACCAAGGCCCTTGAGGGGGCAGTGCACACCCAGAAAACAGGACTTGGACCTGGGCCACGCTGTGGACTCCAAAGCTGGGGGGACACAGGAGCTGAGACTCGGGGACCTTCTAACCCAGTCTTCTCTGATGACAGACAGGGAGACCAAGGCCTCAGTCAGGAAGAGACTTGGAGGAACCCTCATCTCTTTCGCCTCCATGGTACCATCTGAGGGGAAGGCTGACTCCAGCTCCAGACCAAAATCTCCTGCAGCTCTGCTGCTTCGCCAGCTAGGAAACCGGGATGGGTGTCTTATGTCCCTGATCCAGCCATTTGGACCCAAGGCTAGGCAGCCCGTTCGTCCACTTGGCCCATGGGAGTCCCCTGCAGTGCCCATCCTTGGTGAAGGCAGGGTGCCCTCTCCTGGGAGATGGAAGGAAGACCAGAGGAGCAGCAGGGGCCCGGCTTCCTGAGGACAGGCTAGGCTGGTTTAGTGAAGAAAGGAACTCCCACCCACCCCACCAGCCTGGAAGAAGCTAAATGCCAGCGGGATGGACCAGCATGGAAGCCAGACACCTGCTGATTCTGCCAGTTCAGCATCCCCTCCTGGAACAGCCAGCTGTTGCCACTTTATCCCATTACCAGGGCTTCCTGCCCCCAACTGTCCCCCACCTGCCCACGGACCAAACAGACCCCTCTTCCTGTTAATCTAGACAACACAAAACTGGAATTTTTCAAAGATACCTTAAGTGAGAAATGAAACAGCACCACGTCTCGTGCCCCTCTCCCTCTCTCTTTCTAGACTTCCAGACTCCACTCTGCCTCGATGAGCAGCTCCCAGCTCTGTGAGTCGTCTTTGCCACCAGCTTTTGAAAATTTGGGGAACTCTTCCTCAGGGGAGGGAAAAGGAAAGAAGGAAGGAGAAATTTGTGAATAATGGGAGGGGTGTGAGCAAATCCCTTTTATTTGAGAACCCAAATGATCCAAACTGTCTACATGAGGGTTTCCACCTGGTTCCTCTGAGCTCTAAGGGCTCCGTGGGCCTGGGGGGAGCCATTGTGTTGGCCGCCTGGGGCCTCCACTCCCATTTCTTCTGAGCAGTTCTATTTTGACTAAGTTTCCTTTCAAACGGACATAGTTTGTTGCTATAAAGGAAACTCTTGAAAATCTCCGATTTGGCTCAACCCAATCTCTGATATTCAAGGAAACTGATTTTTGAAGCAGTCCTAGTGAGGCTTAGAGACCGTATCCACCAGCCCAGTCCCTGTCCCCAGGGTTCGCTGCCTCCCAGGAGGTCTGGACAGTTGAAAGAGGGGGCAATGCCAGCCTTATGGGAGATTCCTCATCCATCTGGTGCTCCTATGGAGAGAGGCCTAAACACCTGGAAACTTCTCCCCATGTCTTCTTCAGATGGTGAGTGGAGGTGCTGTGCAGAGTGGAGAGGATGGCGTGCAGTGAGAAGTTCCTGAGGTTCGGCATTCCTGGGGAAGGG